GTCAATACACCGAACTGTCCGTTGATATCGCAAAAGCAGAGTTGTGTCGACGACTTCGGCATCCATTTCAATGCTGTGATACGAAGCGATTTGTTGTGAAAGAACTTCGCGATCGGTTCCGCGTTTGTAGACGCTGTCCCCCAAATCATGACAACACCATCGCTGGTGCCGACAGCCATATACTTGCCGTCTGACGAATAGGTGGCGATCGATACTTCGTTAAGTTGGTTGTGTCGGTAAGTGGTGACCAAATCCCAGGTATCGCGTCGGTGGACATCGACCCGATCGATGTGGGGAACGGCAATCAAGTGGCCACTCGTCGGCTCCCAACACACGCGGCCCAATGTCTTGGAGTTTTCGAAATCATTACTTTTTGGGAAACAATCGGACCAATAGTGGACACATGTCTTGGTCTCGGCGTTCCAGACGCGGACACTGCCGTCACAACTCGATGAAGCTATGAACTGGCGTTTCGGATCCAACGCCACGCTAAGTACGGGCGCCGCGTGTCCTTCAAAACACGTTTGGTCTTTATTTTCAAGATTTATTAGTTTTAATGTAAAATCACTGAAAAACAAAAATAAAGTTACAAAATATAGTTAATTAAAATCACGTGACAATCAAATACTAACGCCGCGGACGCGGCCAACCACTTGCCGTCGGCGCTAATGTCCAGATGAGTGGCGTTTGTAGTAAATCGGCAAACAGTGGTCTCATTCTCTCCGTCGGCCATCGCATAGGACTTAACGCTATTGGAATCGCAAGCGATGAAGAACTCTGTCGACTACGAGGAACCGCAACACAAGAAACAACAGATAGGAAATCAGTAATCATCACCAGAAGAATGGTATAGATTATCTCATTTTGAGCTCACATTAGCCACAATGGCGTACGCGGTGTCAGCGATGGTGAACGATGTGTTATCATCGGTGGACTGTTGGTCATCGTTATCATCTGACGGCCACACTCTCACCTCCATATCGAGACCGCATGTCATTAATCTATATATTGGGATCAAAACAGTGGATGGCATTAAGACAAGTGCAGACACAACACACATATGTGTGGATCAGATGACTCACTTGTGGCCGTCGGCGATGAACGTGAAGTCCGTGTGTCCCTCGCAGTGACCGTTACGGAGCACACACTCCACGTTATCATTGGATCGGTTGTCTTCGGCGGCCATTGTTTGGGAAGAGGTTAGAGATAATGAGCTGAAGACAGACCAAAATGCGGACAACAATAACACAAATCAATCGCTAATAAAAAGGTACCAAAAAATTGAGCGCAAAGTTTCACAATTGGCGCCACTTTTCAGCCACTATTTCAGTGGCCGATCGCCACTAGTGTTACGATAACGGCTTAACTCAACACACAATTTAATGGTAGTAAACAATGGATTAGTGCTGTCACGAGTTACGCCCTTTTGGCACAACTTTATTGGTATAGTATTTTGTGTACATGTAATTGATTGACGTAATGGTGTAATGGTACGGCGAATGTCGTGCACTGATTGGTCGGTTGTGGCGTTCATTCATGAAATTCATTGCTTTGAGAGACTGCGAGAGGAAAAGCCATAACATTATTGGCAGACATTATTCAACATTCAGTCATCCCTTTAAATACACACAACAGAGACACTGACTATACGTTCAGATAATGTATTGAATTGTGTATTAACTGTGATATGAATTGAATGAACACAACAGATATGGATGTGTGAGAAAAGTGTGTAAAAATTGTAATTATTGTTTCATATGATTGTGATTACTATTAAACAAACCATTGATTTAACAGTGAGTCCGTGTCTATGGTTTGAGCAGTGATTATATGTGTTAATGGGGTATCAAAACAACACAAACTCTATTATCATATGATTGCTGTTCACTATAACGAGTGGCCATTATATCCAATGGACACACAGTTTGCGCTAACATTCACTCAAAACACTGACAAAAGGCTGTGTTTTTGAAGTGTGTTTTGTTTTGAATATTCAAATGATTTGTGTTTTCAATGTTTGTATCATTGAAATGAACATTGAATACAAAAAGCACACATAAAATGGTTGTAATCAACGATTGAATCAATTATTTATATTTAAATTAAGTGTTTATATATTGTTTGCAATTTAATTGTGATTTAAAGTCTCGTATTATTGTTATAATTGACTGGCAATTAGTTTTTGTAATCCCATAGATATATAGTATGAATATATTTGATATGTATTTTTGTGAATGAAATCCATATATTAATTAAACTAATCATAAAATATAACAATAAATAGTAATAATAATAATAACGACAAAAAAGTTTTACAATTATTACGAGACGATTGTATTGTAAATACTGGTCTGTAATCGGGAAACAACTGATTATTATTATTATAAAACCATTATCTATACAATTGTGAGTATATTTTATATTTAATCAATTAAATCATATATACATATAGTTTACACATATATTGTATTGTATAACGAGGGAAATNTGGTCTGTAATCGGGAAACAACTGATTATTATTATTATAAAACCATTATCTATACAATTGTGAGTATATTTTATATTTAATCAATTAAATCATATATACATATAGTTTACACATATATTGTATTGTATAACGAGGGAAATATTTGCGCTATCAGTTCACTACATATCATATACACTATATCGAGGGTTATAAATGTCTATTATATTTGCGATACTCTTGAGTTTGTGTCGTAAAAAGATGACAATTAATACCACGTTATTATCAATGGTAATGCCATGTCTTAAGCCTATTATATGGTATATTACTGTGGATAGTGTACTGTCTATATGTGTGTCAAAGCGTTTCTCTATGTATTTTTCCCACAGATTTGTGTTTAAATGTTTATTTTTACTCTAATTTTAGACATTATTTGACAAATAGCTTGAAAATGACTTAACGCTAAAACTCCTGTAAAATTCGTATACAATGTCTTGTAATTACTATTACTATTGCTTTGTATTTATAAATATATAAGATTTTTACGATTTATATCCATAAATATAAGTCGTTTTTGAGGCCAATTGTTTGACTACCAGTGCTTTCAAGAAGTGCTTGTGTTTTAGGAGTAGTTTTTTGTAGGACTAGAGACTGGTTTTTGTTAGAGAGAGAGAGAGAGAGAGAGAGAGGCTGACCTCATTTTCAAGAGATTGTAATATTTCGCAAATGATTACGTATGACGTGAGTGAGTGAGAGAGAGAGCACTTATAAAACACAAACCAGTAAATTACTGGTAAAACATACAGCAATTGAACCAAACTTTTAAAATTTAATTTAAAAATTCTTAAAACAATTAAATAAAAATATTTATAGGCTTTCCTCTGAAACAATAAGTTATATCATGTATTGCTATGGATTGAGAGGAAAACTATTTTTCATTAGTTTTTTATTGTTTTCTTCAAAACGATTCGATAGTCAGTCAATCGTTTTGTCGAAAAAGTAATTATGAAATAAATATAAAAATATTTTTCCTTAATTAATCAAAAGCTGACGTTTTATTACTATTGGATATATAGACGGTATTTGATTGACGGCTATTTTGGATCCGATTTATGGCCAAAAATAATGTGAAGCAAAAAATGTTGACTAATTTTGTTGGCAAAAACTCTTTGCCAAAGAGAAAGAAAAGTTTCTCACATGAAAGTGAATTTGAATGATATATGAATATTATTGTCATTAAAAATTATATGAATGAATTTGAGAGAGAAAGAGAGAGAGAGAGAGAGAGAGAGAGAGAGATTTGTGAGACAGAAAAACGGAAAGTAATGATGAGATTAAGACTTGCAGTCTATGACACAACACATTGTGTAGTATTAAAGCAACAAAAAATATAATTGTCTTAAGCGGTGGTTATTGTCTTAAATGATAGGTTGAGAGAAAGCCATTAGGCCTTTGTTTTAACTATAACTATATATTGTTGTCTATGTTTATGAGCAACGAGTGAATGGATAACTCTATTATCTTCATAAGAAAGCTAACCACTAGTTATCGTAACAATATATACAACACATACACATCGAGAGTGAGACTACAATCATGTCTTATATAAGTGGTTATCTCTCTCTCTCTCTCTCTCTCTCTCTAACAAAAACCAGTCTCTAGTCCTACAAAAAACTACTCCTAAAACACAAGCACTTCTTGAAAGCACTGGTAGTCAAACAATTGGCCTCAAAAACGACTTATATTTATGGATATAAATCGTAAAAATCTTATATATTTATAAATACAAAGCAATAGTAATAGTAATTACAAGACATTGTATACGAATTTTACAGGAGTTTTAGCGTTAAGTCATTTTCAAGCTATTTGTCAAATAATGTCTAAAATTAGAGTAAAAATAAACATTTAAACACAAATCTGTGGGAAAAATACATAGAGAAACGCTTTGACACACATATAGACAGTACACTATCCACAGTAATATACCATATAATAGGCTTAAGACATGGCATTACCATTGATAATAACGTGGTATTAATTGTCATCTTTTTACGACACAAACTCAAGAGTATCGCAAATATAATAGACATTTATAACCCTCGATATAGTGTATATGATATGTAGTGAACTGATAGCGCAAATATTTCCCTCGTTATACAA